TGCCCCTGGTGTCCTGCTATGACTTTATCCCTTTCTTTCTTTCTTTCTTTCTTTCTTTCTTTCTTTCTTTCTTTCTTTCTTTCTTTCTTTCTTTCTTTCTTCCTTCCTTCCTTCCTTCCTTCCTTCCTTCCTTCCTTCCTTCCTTCCTTCCTTCCTTCCCCTCTCTCTCTCTCTCTCTCTCTCTTTTGAGGCAGGGTTTCTCTGTAGCTTTAGAACCTGTGAAACTTACTTGTAGACTGGGCTGGCTTTGAATTTGCAGAGATCCACCCATCTCTGCCTTTAATCCCAAGTGCCAGGATTAAAGGTGTGTACTACCATTGCCCAGCTTCCCCCATTTTTTAAGTCCTCTGCTTCAGTGTAAAACATGTTTTCTTGTTCTCCTAAGTAACGCCTGTCTCTCACATCCCTACTCCTGGTCCTTGGGCTCCAAAAGAAGCCTGACATCATACTTGGGCTGGACAGGACTTGTCACAGCTTTAAGGGTGAAGACGCCACAGGGTTGGGTAGGCCTTTCTAGAACTTCATGTGCCAGGTTTTGTCCTGCAGTCAGATGTGGGCAAAGCTGGCCCTGTGGTTTCAGGCCCCATGTCCCTCTTCTTGTGAGGGAGACCTCCTTAGCCCCATGCCAAGGATTAGCCAGGGCACCAAGCAGGTTAAATATCTTCCGGCCTAGTGTCCACTTTAGACAACCATGCCCACGTATGATGGAGAGAGTTGTTAGGTCTTCAGGGCACAGCTTCTGGGTATGCCTACAAGGGGACCCTTTCCCATCAGCAAAGGCAGTGGACCTACAGAACTGTAGTGGAGACCTACGGAACTGTAGCAGGGTCAGACACCAGGGAAAGAACGGATGGTGATTTTTATCACCTTTGAATCCTTGCTCTTCATGCTTCCAAGTGGTCCAGGTACCAGTTAGGGTCCCTATGATCCCCCACTACTTGCACTAATAGTAACTGCACTTATGTAAAGCTCTCGGCTCATGATCTATTACCACGAGTATAGTGTGACCGACATCTGTCACCTCAGCCGCTGTGTGATGATGGCAACACAAGTCCCCTCTCCAGAACACCAAGGTTTGGAAGATTGGGTGATGTAGCTAAGCAAACTGCCTATCGCTGGGAAGAAGTGTTTGTGGGCGCCACACCCAGCCACACTCAGCCACACTCTGGGACTCCTCTATTTTCTACTTTCTCTGCTGCCTTGCACACTAGGAAGAGGCCATCCATTCTCGCCATGGTTTTTGTCATGAGCTAGCCTATTCTTTGACCCAGTAAGCATTCTTGAGCCTGGGCCAGGTCCCAGGGCTCCCACAGCAAGCTTGGCTGTAATGTGGAATATGCTGGCAGGAGAGCTTACCGTCCAGGATGTAGATGTCTTGTCCTGGCTTTGTGGCTGAAAATGTTCATAGAAAAGGTTACATCATGGCTGGAGAGACGGCTCTGCGGAGCACTTACTGAGTTCGCAGAGGATTGGGATTCCTGTCCCATCATCTTCCTCCTGGTGGCAGCAGGGGATCTCACATCCTCTCCTGGCCTCATGGGCACGCAGACCCACACAAATGTATCCACATAGTTAAATAAATCTTTTATAAATTTTCCATTTAAAAAATCAGAGTGGCTGTAGTTGTGTACCATACACAGCCTCAGATGAGTCTAACCCACCTCGTGCCCACGTTTGTCCAGATAGCCACAGGTGCCAGCCGGGACAGCTCTGCCAACTAGAAAGTCACTTATTACTGTCATTGTCAATCTAGATCTGATGGGAATCACCACTTTCAAGCCCATAGGACCACAGGAGTTACTGTTGGGTGACTAGCTTATAGTTGGCTTTCTGGTTACAAAAGATGACACATGTCCAATGTAGGGCAAGTGAGCAATCTAGAAGAAGTCAAGGAAGAGATCTTATTCCGTGAGTCATTGGTAGACATTGCTTATGTCTTCCACTGTGTGTGACTACCAAGCAGAACCGCCTCACCTGCTATATATTGCCTTGTGTTTGTCTTGTCTTATAGTCCCAGCTGTATATGACTGTACACTCAATTTCAGAAACAATGAAAACCCAACACTGCTGGGAGTCTTAAATGGAAAGAAATATCATGCGGACTGCTATGTTAGGTAAGTTGGCCCTGCTTCCTCCCTAGGAAAGGGGGAGCTTGCTTCTAAGCACCAAATCACTACCTGCCACTTTCCAGGAGCACCTGTTTAGCTTCTCTCTGGAAGCTGCCTTCCCATTTAACTTCTTTCCAGTCTTTATTTACATTTGAGCTCAAGAGGCACAGCTTACTGCAAGGATACCCTGGGGATTAGCCTTCCCTCCCAGTTCCTTACTCATCTGCTCACCCTCTCCTCTCAGAGCTCAGGTGGACGGAGGGAAAACCACTGTCAGTCCTTCTTTATGGACACAGTTCCTGGGGAGAGGCATCTGCTCTTTGGAAAGACAAACCTCTTTTCTTTTCCTTCTTCCTTTCATTTCTTCCTTTCTTCCTTCCCTTCCTTCCTTTTTTACTTACACAATGCACCTAACTTCTGATCTTCAGAATGTCACCAAGATTAGTGGAACCACGAAGGGAAAGATGTAGCAGCCAGGAAGCCACAGGGTGGTTTGTTCAATAAACCAGTGACGTACACACTAACATGTAGTCTAAATCGGGTCAGGTGGTAAAGCTACTGGTCATCTTTGAAGGCCGTCCAAGAGCCCCTGAATGTCTGTCCACGCAGTAGACAAATGGTATTGAGCTTTTTGGCTAAAGATCCTTCTGATGCCAGATCACAGCACAACGTAATGAAAGCCCTCTGCCATGTCACTCAAGGTGCTTCAGGGCACAGATGCTTTAGTGGACGGACAGTCTATGTTGGCTCCCCAGAAATGCTGCCAGCTTTCCCACAATATGAAGAAGCACCATCAGCGTCCTTTTCTAACAGTGCTGGCATGGGCTACCATATTGCTCATTGTATGGTAGACAAGAGGCACCACGGTCACCCAAGAAGACCCCCGCCAACTCCCCCACTAGATACAGTGGGTTCTTCCTCTCTGGAGTTCCTTTGACATTTGGCAAGAGTTCCGCTCCGTCAGACTCTGGTAGGGTGCAAGACTGTTTGGCTGCCACAGGGGGATTTTCTCAGTAACTGCGGTTCTTTGGAGTATGTGAGGGGATTGGAGTCGAGTACACAGCCACCTGTGATCCTTTCAGGTTCACCCACCAAAGCCAGCAAGCGTTCATGGTTGTGAATGAGGAGTCATGACGTTATCCAATATACCTGTCACATGTAACCCACGTAAGACGACCGGGACGCACTTCAGTCCACGCCACAATCCATATAAAAGATCACACATTTAGAGCTCTGCCGTCCAGCACATTATCAAAAAGAGTAAAACTACGTAAGCTCCCACGATCCAAGCCAGGAAATGCTCTGCAAGGCATTGCTAGCCTTTCCTGAGACACTCCATGATCTTCCTTGCAACCAGAGATCGCAAAGAGCAAGAAGTGTGGATTTCATGGAAACACATGCAGAGACCAAAAAGGCCAAGGGCTGTTTCCCGAGGAACTTGTAGGGAGTGTGGCAACAGGAGGAATTTACCCACAGAGAACACGGAAGCCTGTGGTGGTTAGCCCAACAGTGGTGGCTGACCTCAGACAAGGCAACCCCAGATCTCCTCCGAACCCCTACAATGTCCTGGGCTAATCTTTAAACTCTCCTCTCTGAGATATTTCTGAAATGTCCCATGGAAAATCCTGACAAATACGCTTCTCCATGAACCAAAGCAGATATCCTTGAAATTTCCGGAGCCAGAATCCTGAGAACTCAGGGAGCAGGAAACGTGGAAGCTACTTCTCCATGTGCATTCGGGCTCTTTGCTAACAGATAAGCCTCCCACCCTTGCCAGCTCTGGCCTGAGAGCAGCCACTCAGGTGCAGAGTAACTTAGGAATCCCTATTCTGCCCAGGTACCCTCGCTTCTCACATGCCAGGGGTGCCTGAGCTTCCAGGATCTGCCTCAGTGTGGGTGACCTCGGTAGAGACCAAAGGAGCCACTCGGCGAGTTAGTCCACCATTACCGTTCCTGTTGGTCCTTGGCTGAAGAAAGCAGTAGGTGCTGCCCCATAGACAGGATTCTCTACCTACCGGACGGCATCACATGGAAAACGAGGCAGCACTGTCCTCTTTGGGGGAAGCAGTGTCATGTTTGGGGAGGTAGAAGATGGAAAAGGCAGGTCCCCATTCCTGACACCATCTCTGTGTCATTGTCTTGACCCTTGCTTGGTTCTGTTTGGCCAAGGCTGGATTTTGGAATTTCCACCTATCTTAGGGTTCCCATTGCTATGAAGGAACACCATGAACACGGTAATTTATAAAGGAAAACATTTAACTAGGGTGGCTAACTTACTGTTTCAGAGGTTTAGTCCATTAATGGCGGGACATCGCAGTGTGCCATGTGCTGGAGAAGGAGCTGAGAGTCCTACTTCTTGATTCACAGGCAACAGGAGGTGAACTGAGACTAGACATAGTTTGAGAGTATGAGACCACTCCCACAGGGACACACTTCTTCCAACAAGGCCACACCTCCTAATAGTGCCACCCTGTGAGCTTACGGGGGCCAACCACGTTCATACCCCCCCCCCCGGGGGTGGCGCTTGCCTCTCCCCACACAGCCAGAACTGTCATCAGGACCTGGACCGGGTGCTCAGTGCGGCTCTCTCCGGGCTAACTCTGCTCTGCTCTCACAGGAGGATCCCGATGGAAGACATCCCGGAGGACGAGGACAAGTGCTCGGCCTGGCTACACAAGCTCTACCAGGAGAAGGTGGGTGCGCCCAGCTGTGGGGTGAAGGGTGGGCACTGGAGCCAGTTATTGTTGCCCCTAACGATCCACGCATCAAGCAGTAAGAGCGTAGCAGAATACATCATCAGGTGGCCCCACGGGAAGTGAAACCCTGGCGTGGGTGGAGTGGGCCAACAGGAGGTCATGGCTGCTCTGTGTTGTCCAGAGAAGCGACAGTCGCTGAACTCGCAAGTGAGTGTGTTTTTATTAATGTGCAGCGAGCAAAGAAAGGGAGCAGATAGCAGAGGTAGGAGGGCAGACAGCAGACATCCTCAGCTGGGGACTTAGCGCATCCAGGCGGCATGACCTGGACGTCACAGCCAGGCGGGAGTTCTCAGCTGAGCTCTGTCCACAGAGGAGCTCTGGCTTCCTCTTCCCGTCCAGGTGTTTATACCACAGGGTAAACGATTGTAGCTTCTGCTGGAAATGCTCCTTCTTCCAGCTGTTCTCAAGGGCTCGCTCTTTTCCATTCTCGCTGTCAGAGTTATGGAAGACATGGAAGACATATGAAGTTATGGAGGGAGAGAGAGCCTCCTTGTTCTCAGTGTCCCCTTTATAACAAGCTTCAACAGCATGTGAGAGTTTACCAATATAATGTATATCACTGTGGTCCAGCAGCCTGGCCTGCTGCCCAGGCACATGTCCCTAAGGGAGGGCTCACTTTAGTGACAGACGTGGTCTTGACTGCTCTTGAACAAACTATTCGGTACCCCTGTGTCACTTCAAAGTGTGACCCAAATAAGAATGCATCCCCGAAGAGTCCCTGGTCCAGCTCCCCAGCTCCCCCAGCTTGTTCCTCCGAGGGCCTTGGCTTTCACAGGCTTCTCTTTCAAAAATATAATAGGGCAAGGAGAACCTAATTATCATTGCCCTAACTTGATCTAACAGAGGTTATACCAAGGAAGTGCTGGTTCCTACAGTGAGGAGTACCTTGTCCCTTGTGGACCCACAGCTCAACCCAAGCTCAAGGCCAGAGTGAGCGCGTATCCTTGGCTGGTGTGGGCAGAGCTCAAGAGGCCCTTCCTTCATTTGCCTTCTCCTCAACCTATCACCACTGCCCTGCTGTGTGTCCTTGGTGCCTGGGATATGTTGAGCCTGACTGAGGCTGGCCAGCCCCAACCTCCCTCCCACACAGGAAGGAGAGTGGCAGACAGCCACTAGATGTGACACCAGGCAGCGTTGAAACTCCCTAGTAGTTGCCCACAGAGCACTTTCTGTAAGGTTTTACCAGAGACCCAGTAGGCACCACCTGGAACCCAGCATGGTGTCTGAGGCACATTTTCTGCCCCCAGGATGCCTTTCAGGAGGAATACTACAGGACAGGGGTCTTCCCAGAGACCCCCTGGGTTCCCCCACGACGGCCTTGGGCTCTAGTCAACTGGTTGTTCTGGGCGTCGTTGTTGCTGTATCCTCTCTTCCAGTTCCTCGTTAGCATGGTCAGCAGCGGTTCTTCAGTGACACTGGCTAGCTTGGTCCTCATCTTTTGTATGGGTGAGTACAGAGCCAGAGGCTCCAAGCGAAGCCAGTGTGCTTGGCGGATGCCAGATGTGTGCGGGTTCCTTGCAGGCTGTGAAGCACCCCCAAGGGCCCTCCCTCTGGGACTCCTGTAACCGGTGACTGGGCTGGAGTGAGGAAGTTCAGAAAGGGCCTTCTTCGTTCTTCACAATGGCTCACTTACCCAGCACTGTCCGACCACAGCAGTTCCTCACACTGAGCGTGTGTGCACGCTGCTCCCTCTGTCACTGCCCGGTGTGCAACACTCCCCTACCACCTGAAGGCCAGGCCTGCTCCCAAGGCTTATGTGAGCATGAGCAGCTTCCACTTCCCACTACTGAGGAACAGTGGCATTGGGCCAAGGCCAGGAGACTGGTGTGTGTGTGTGTGTGTGTGTGTGTGTGAGTGAATACCATGGTCTCAGGGCGGACTCCCACTTGGAGCCTGGTGCCGACAGCCATCTCCCGAGGACCACTGCAGTCTCAAGCATAAAGGTACACCACAGGCTGCATCTTCTGAACACTTCTCACTTAGTAGTGAGCACCCTGACATGTCTGTGTGCACCAGGGTGCTGGGAAGGAGGCTGGCCAGGGCTTGTGATACCAGGAAGGCCAGCAGAGGCCATGCCTGCCAGCAGGAGAGGGATGGGAAAGCTGTGCCCAGTGGCCTGAGCATGCAGCCTGGGGTGCTGTGGTCATTTGGAGATGGTCCCAGAACTATCCCTGTTGACACCGTAGTCCGGTTTGCACCGCCCTCCGTCCTGCATTCCTCCCCTTCCTGAAGCCTGTGGAGCAGAGTCCACATCTCTTCCACTTCCGACAGGTTATCACAGGCCCTCCTACTGAGGAGCCGTTCCACTCAGGGGCCAGAACTGGGACAGGGCTTGGATCCCAGTGACTCAAGAGGTGTCCGAGGTGTCCGAGCAGACAGCTCTCCACCTGCACAGGCAGCTTCCCTGTTCACTACCCAGAGAGTTTCTGACACACACCATTGTCTGGGGCTGCACCTGCTGGCTCACCACTGTACCCTCAACTGTGTGTTCAGTGGTTAAGACACGGCCTGGCACACAAGGAACTCACCAAGCCCCCGCCGCAGAGGTGACTGCTTACCTTCCATGGCAGTTTCTGAGTGAGTTCCTCGATGGGTCCAGCACCTGGACAGCCACAGCTTCAGCCCACACACTGGTAGAGTTTGTGGGTATGCTGGACCTTCATGCCCTAGGCTCTGCCTGTATCCTCACAAAGCGGCCCCCACCACAATCCCCAAACCACCACCGTTTTGCCTTGGAAAGTGGTATGGAAACCAGAGAAGTCTTGAACAGATGCATGCTGCTTGCCCGGTTCGTTTACCTCCACTGTGCAAGGATGCCCTCCCACCCCCGCCACAGCCCTGTCATTGTCCTTTTAATGTCATTTCAACAGGCAGAGGAATTCCTAGAAGCTGGGGGCAAATGGTACCGCAGGTTCGTTTGCATTTTCAGGGCAAAGGCCTCCTCATGGCTCCCATTGGCAAAGCGCCCCTGGAGTGTGTTCAGGTGCTTAACTGCTTTTTCCTGTCTCTGCAGCCTCCATGGGAGTTCGATGGATGATTGGCGTGACAGAAATCGACAAGGGCTCTGCCTATGGCAATATCGACAACAAACAGAAACAAATAGACTGACCTGGAAATGTCGCCTCCAAAGGGAACCTTGGGGAACTGTTGGCCCCTGCCTAGCCTTCTTAGTAGGGTTCAGTGCTGGAGCCTGGGAGTCTTGCTGGGAGGAGCAGAAGCCAGAGCCTCTCCAGGCACGGAGTTTGTCTCAGCGCTGGAGGGGAAACGAAGACGTCCTTTGATGCAGACTCTGTCTACAGTTCTTAAACCCTTTCCCTTTCCCCCGTGTGAATTCTTGGGTTTGGTTATCTTTTCAGTTGCACACGTGTTTGTGTGTACATGTGTGAGAGAGGAGAATGGCGGCGTATTCACTTGTAACCCTGCGACAGTGGGTCTCTAAGGCTGCAGGGAAGGGCAGGGCTGGGGTGGAAGGGAAGGTGGAAGGTGTCCCTGTCACCCCATGGTGCTGCGTCTTTAACCCTCAATTGCCAGCGACGGAGTCAACAGTGCTTTAGGTAAGATGACTAAATTATGCCTCCAAATAAGAAAAAAAAAATTAAAGTATTTGTCTGGGTTGTCTGTAGCATGTGTTTACACAAATGTTCCAGCCTCTCCTCTGCCCTCAGTTGGGGTGTTCCAGAGAACTCTGCTCCTGGTAGGGGATTGCTAGGGGCTTGAGTCAAGAATCGTACAAGATATATTACTGAGACCCCACCCCCACGCCCAAATGACGTGTCAGCGTAACAATACTGAACAATATCCATGTAAGCAAGGGTTTGTTCTGGGTCAGAGTTCAAGGGCACAGTCTCTCCAGGTGGAGAGACTCTGGGACAAGAGGAATCCAACTCGAAGTGGAAGAGATGAATGCAGGCCCTCTGCTCACTCACTGTCTTGTACTGGTCAGGACCCCAGCCTATGGAGTAGGGAGGCCCATGGCTGAGGTAGGTAGGCCTGCCCATCTCGGTTGTTCTAGCCTAGATTACCTGTCCAGCCAGAGGCTTGTCTCCTAGGCGAGTCTAGATCCTGTTGGGTTGGCAAGCAGCATTAAGCAATCACAGTAAGCCAATCCAGGGATGTTACCTGTAGATGTGGGCATGGGAGCCCCTCCCAGCAAGGGTGAAGACAAAGAGACCAGCCCAACGCTTGCTTGAGTCATGAAGAGGGGTCAACAGGGGACAGCTTTGGTTTCCCAGTCTTGCTGAACTGCCATCCACTAGTCAAGGACTTACACTGGTTTTGAAACCGAATGGTATGAAAATATCAAAAAGTCACAGGAGTTGGGAAGCCCTCAAACAGGGGAAGGGTCATTTACAAAAATGGTACTACACTCCTTTTCAGCTTGTGCTGGGTACCTACTGAGGAGCCACATCCTGGGGGCTCTGCTTAGCCCAACGGGCTTTTTTTGTTGGCGCCTGTTCTAACAGGAAAGGGTTGGTTCTCCCGTATCTTCAGCAGTCTTTAGAGAATGGCTCATGGCCAGGCGCACACAGAGCAAGAAGAGGGAAGGGTGGGGATGCTCTGGGCAGGATCTACGGTAAGGCACTAGATGTCCTCTTAGAGAATTGGCTTCCAGCCTGTGGGTCTCAACCCTTTCACAGGGGCCACCTAAGATCATCGGAAAGCGCAGATATTCACAACTCATAACAGCAGAAAAATTACAGTTATGAAGGAGGAACGACATTAATTTATGTTTAGGGTTATGGCATCAGGAAGGTTGAGAACTACTGCCTTAGATGGAGAGACCGGCGACACTTGGACTAATGCCCTTATCCCTGTGTGGCTGCACACTACCTGGACACACACACACACACCCCCGAGAGGCTGGCTGTAGAGTCCACCAAAGGCACATCCTCTCCAAGGTCACTGTAGCAGACAGATCACTAAATGGCATCCACTTGACTGACCCTAAAGGGGTTAGGCTTGGGTTTTAGTGAGAAGTCTGAAAACAAGGTCCTGAAGTCTCCTGCTGACAGGAGTCCGGTGCCCCTGCAATGTGGGCAAATGGTTTGCTATCCTGACAACCGCTGAGAGGGAAGGGGATTTCAGCAGTGATAACCTGAGGCCTCTCCCCAGGGCAGGGGACTTAATTTTTTTTCCCTCTCCTAAGCACTGACTTGAGAGGACCCAAGACTATCTGCTTGCACGTTTTGTCTGCATTCTTCCTCAAACATAAACACTGCACGTCTGTGAGGATATCAGAAATTATTGCCTGTCTCAGGGCAAGTTTCTAAAAATGCTTTCCTAGACTTCACCGGGGATTTTCCTTTTTCATTTGGTTGAATTAGGTTCCAAAGCGAGCCTTAGAATGCATGCTGGGCTGAAGGGTTCCACCGGCTCTGTACAAACAACCCCTCTTCCCTCCATAATCAGACCAATCAGGTGGGTAAGGATCCCACCAGCAGACCCTCAGGTCTGCCTGGTGCCACTAACTCCTCACATGCACCCAGTGTCCTGCCAGCCCTGATTAAATCACATCCCCAGTGCCATGCGTGCACAGATACACACAGACTCTGGCTTTAGGGCTTTGATCTACTGTGTACCAGACATACAGCAGAGGCGCTAGGCATCAGCATCACCCATGGCATCGGTCACCAACCGGCAAGGTACCTGTTTTGTGATACTCAACTGTTCAAAAGGATTTTGGTCAAGAACAAAGCAAATAAAAAAACGCCACCTAAATAGTACAAGCCTTTTTAGGCGACCACCTGTCTGAGGTAGGCTCAGCCTCCTGGGCCCACAGCCTCAACAGGTGGTCCTCTGAATACTGCCTATAAAAAGAGAGACATATGCCTGGAAACTTAACCACAGAACGCCCATCACCTTAGCATTCTCCTTCCTGAAGCACGAAGGCAAGTGCTTGGAGCACAAGTAAGCCAGAATAAATGAGTTCCTGGTACAGGGCCAAGCCGTTTTCCAGAGGATGAATGGTGACAGACTGGGCCCCTCCTGCTGCGGCCTGGTGGTCCTGGCTAGCACCGAGGCTGGGAACTGCCTGCGGATCCTTCCAGTGTCTGGAAGCATCTCCTCGGCCGTGTGGATAAAGGTTTCCTCTGGGGATGGCTCCACGTGCACAGTAGACGGTGTTGAAATCTCTGGCATCTGTGCTCACCGTTCAGAAGGATGCGGTGGGAGCACAGGAGACCCACTGAAGTGCTAATGCCTTCAGATTTCCAAAAACGAGTCAAACTCAGCGTGTTGCTTCCCCTCTCTATATTCCCTAGAGCTGATTTTAGCCAGGTATTTGTCAACCACCTGGGACATCAAGCAGTCCCGAGTGGCACTTGAGGGGGCATTTTACCCAAGACCTTGCAGATGAGGGAAAGCTGAGGGCACAGTCCAGTGACTTGGGCTCTCAAAGTGAATAGACAGACAGCCACAGCCTGCTGAGAACGCTGCTGGAGACAGGCCAAGGGCTCGGGGAGGATGGACACCCAAACTCCCAGGCTGGTGCGGCCTCCAGCATGCACAGGTGTGATTGGTGCATAAAGCATGCTTCCTGATTGCTTGGCCTACCAAGGAGAAAAGACCCCAAACAGGGAGGACCAGGGTGAGGTGTTCATGTCAGAGCGAGGTATTCTGGGTAGGCAATGAGTTGCTCCACCTTGGGGGTGACCGGGACCCACTAAGGATGATTCAGGAAGAAACAGGTGGAGGAAGAGGGGGTAAAGAGTCCTCAGAGATCACTCTGTCACAGCATTCCGGGAGGCCAAACAACGGATGTCTCGGTATGTGGAAGTGGTGGTGCCTGCCGCTGAGACAACCAAGCACACTGGCCAAGCATATTACCAAACCAGGCCATCTGACTTCTGGCAGAGAAGCGGACAGAGTGCAAGGGTACAGAGAATGTGTGGCCGGGCTTTTAGTATAAAGAACAGGGCCGCGATGTACCATTGCCGTCTTTTTCTTATTCTATGGAGCAAAAATAAGATACATGAAGCATCCAGAGGCCCAGCTTCAATGGATGGGATGAAATAAAATGAATTATTTACATAACACTTTATGGGGCTCAGCAGGCAACAGTGCCTGTAGCCAAGAGACACGAGTTCAATCCTCGAGCCTCATGTGTTAGAAGGAAAGAACTAGATCTCACAAGTACTCCTCTGACTGCCATACACTTGATGTGGCATGTGCGCATGCACCCTGCATGTGCACAAGTCACCATTTGCACTATCTGTTGCTTTACGGCAGCCCCCATGCCACACTGTGGAGCTGCAGCCACCACCAAGCCCATGTACCCCATACACCAGCACCAGGCCCTCTGGATCTCTGCAGCTCCTGCCACCCATCAGTGCCAGCAGATGGAAGCTGCAACTTTAAAAGCCTTGGTGACCGTGTGAGCGGCTGACTCTTCTTACTTGGAAGTCACCTGTAGACACCGACCTGGTGTGACCTACTGACCAAAGCAGTCTAGCAGAGTGCTTTTACCAGTATTTTTTTTTTAAAGATTTATTTATTTATTATGTACACCATATTCAGCCTCCATGTATGCCTGCAGGCCAGAAGAGGGCACCAGATCTCATTACAGATGGTTGTGAGCCACCATGTGGTTGCTGGGATTTGAACTCAGGACCTCTGGAAGAGCAGTCAGTGCTCTTAAACTCTGAGCCATACCTCCAGCCCCTTTTACCAGTATTTTAAAAGGTAGACCAATTAAACATAAAGCACACAGACAGAAAGAAACAATGAAGATCACTACAAATGAAGATCACTACAGAAGAAACAGAAACCAGAAAAACGAGAGAAAACACTAGTGAAGCCAGAAGAGACTGACAAGATGGTCAGACCATTGTCAAGACAAAGAGAAGACAGATGGGTACACAGGGGTACGAGGTCAGCAGACAGATGGGTACACGGGGGTACGAGGGATGGCAGCCGAGCAGACACGGAGTGTGATGGCAGTTAGTGACTGACTGGCCACCTGCCGAGAAATTCAGCAACTTGGTGAGACTGAGAGGAATTCTAATGCCAGCTCAGAG